CCTAGATTCACACACCTCTTAAACATTTTTATTACATTCTACCTTAAATGGCAGCCGCCCGAGGGTTTAACAAGTTCAAAGCTTATTTGCTACTCTCTATTGTTTACACTATTTCTCCTACAAGTATGTAAGGAGCTATTTTTAGGCTCCAACCTTTAACTCTTCAAATACAACCTCGAGGGATGCTCACATGGTGTACCTTTTAGTGACAATCCAAGTTGAATGCCCGATCTACTACCAAGCCTTCGACAAGTTTTTTCTCCACATTATTTTTCTCTTCATTGCTTAGTTTGCTCAAGGATTGAATGGTTTGGTGCCTAAGAATTAGTATGCAATAGACATCCATAGGAGTTATTCTTTCTTAGGGGCAAATCCATGGCTGATATGAATTGATACACTTTAAGAAATGTCACTATAAATTGAGCTAGCTCACATTTCTCGATAAGATTGAGAAATAATAATTTTATTGATCTAATAAAGGTTTACGGAAGCATGGGACTTTAAAATGATGTTTAACAACATAGGAAAAATTATGCACTTTTAAGGATTGACAACTATGAAAACTACATTAGAAAAACAATTGTGGTCGTCGTTCCATGATAGATGACATCACTTGATACTCATCAAACAACTTGACCTTTTGTTCTACAATTAAGGACATCATCAGTTCTCCTTCGTGCATCTTCATCTCTTATGTCATAATCTGCCACTTGTGTTTTATTGTACAATGAATATAAGCATTTTTTTTCCACTTTTTGGATTAGCTCCAATCATTCCTAATGACTAGCAATGAGACTTTAGAAAATATATTAAACCAAGAAAATCAATCAACTTTCGAAATAGAAAGTATATAAGGTCTTCTCGATAACACTAATTGATTCGGCAAAAAACTTGTTATTTTGACCCTGTTCTAGAATTTTTTACAAAGGTTACACAATGTTGAAATTTTAGAACAATTGATACTTCTAAATGATTTTAAAAAAGAAATACTTAGAGAAGTTTTGCAAATTTTTTGTAGAGAATCTGAAAAATTTTCAATTATCAAAGAAGTTTCATTATTTTTAAGAAGTTAGAAACCAAGAAAAAATATATTCACTAAAATTTATTTTATAGCAAGCTTCACTGACCAAATAACAACAAAAAATTCAAGATCTCTAATGTGGGCAACAACCAAAAATATTTAGCAATTCTTTGCTATTTGATTTGACCAAAAAAATTCATTAAGTTTGAATTTTAGCATAGAAATTGACAGGAAGAAAAGTTTTGCACAACTCAACCCAATAGAATTTCACGTTGAAGGAATTTATAGTAAAAGTTCACATTAGGGAGAACGTATGAGTATGCAATGAATATATCCAATGAAAATAAGGAAGAAAAAGTGATGATGAATGAGAAGTTGTGAAATTTAATATAAGCCCTAATGAGATCGGGCTTTTCCTTGACCTTGCATTCACGATCTTATTTTTTCGAGGTTAATTTTGTCTCTTTTAATAGGGAGATTAGAACTTCTAAACTAGATGTGATTATTCCTCCTCCATTTTACAAATGTGTTTCTCTAAGGTAACTTCATGTTTTCTTAGTGCAACCGTAGAATATCTAGACACAACACTAATTGTGCTTGTTAAACTCTTACATAATCGATGCTTTTTCCATGATAGTTCACCTTGAAAATAGACCCTCAAGAGGAGTTTTTTTTTTTTACTGCAAAGGGAGTTTATAATTTTTGTTGCGTAAAACTTAAAACTTGTTGAGGATTTATAGATATTTTTGGGGTTTATATTTTGGATTTGTTTTGCCACAACATGCTAACAAAGAGATTTATTTTAAGGTAAAATAGGTTTTGTTTATTTTCTGAAAATAAAATATTAAAATTAAAAAAAGTAAGCAAAAATGATAATAATTTAGCAAACAAAAAAAAATTATAAATAAATCTATACCTTTATTTTCTATTATATGATTTATGGGCTTTAGAATCTCTTAGTAACAATTTTTGGCATTTTCAAGCAACAAAGAATTCTCTAAAATTAGTTTTAGAGCATATGAAGAGAATTCTTATTCAAAATTTTGTGGAATTTCCCATTTTGAATACATGCCAAAGATCAAAGCTTCCTAACAAATAAATTTGTGATTGATGAGTTCACTACCTTAAGGGTCACGTTGCATTCACAGAGTGGTCATGCTTTGAAGTATTCATTGGGTTGTAATTTCACAATGCATGTTTTCAAGACAGTATTTTTTTATTTGCAATTTTGTATGATCCAAAAATATCTAGCAAATGTGTTATAAAAAATTTCATCTAATAAAGCACAAATCTTGGCTCAAAATTTTGAATTCTAATGCACTTAGAGGATTGAACGGGAAATTAAAACTTCAAAGATTATTCATGGAATCAGATTGAGCTCTAATTATTATAGATATATAATCAAAATGAAAATCTTTCCATGATGATTCCATTGACATCAAAATCATCAAAATTCAAACATTATTTGGGCTTTGAACCACTTGAACATGCCTCTGAGGGACAGGATTAATTTGATCAAGGTGCTCAAACTGCCCCACCCCTCTTTTTGTACAATGAATGTTCGAGTTAATTGTCTGTAGGACAAGGGCAAAGGCCACCTCTATGGGTGCTCTGTAATATTAGAGGCGATTGTTTGAATGGATAAGGGCAAAGGCCGATCCTTTGAGTGCATAGAGGGCATCGAACCATCTCTTTGACCTATTCTTTCCATGAGGAACTTTATGGTGGTGTTTGATAATTCCAATTTTCATTCAATACGGTCTAGTTCATTCACCTTGATTTGAACTTCCTTGAATTTCTATGACCATTATAGGCCTTTGATTCATGAAATGCTGATGGTGTTTGATTCTTCACAATGAGGCAAGCATTTTTTCCTTTAGTTCTCTTAAATTTGAAAATGACATCTTTCAAAAAATTTTGCAACTTTGGCACGACTCCAATTCACGAGCCCCTTGTTGCACTAGATTTCTTTTGGGAGGTCAATATTTCAATACCAAATATTGTGACCTATTATCTTTGTTCTTTGTCAACTTTTATTGTGATCCCTAAATCTTTTTTAAGTATTATTCTATCAATTTAACTATTGGAATTGTCATCTGTTAACTCTATTTGGTTCATTGCATTGAGATCTTTGAAATCTTATATAAGTTCACTAATCTATGATTTTATTGTTGGTCATTCGATTTGACCCTGGCTTGGTTGAGTCAAGCATGGGAATTGCAATCACTATCTGATTAGTGAAGATCTTGATCTAGTGAGCCCTTTTTTTTCACCCTAAAGTTTGGATGATGGGATTATTCTAATTTAGATAATATTCGTACTCAAGAACTTGGTGACAACTTTCAAGACCCTTACCAATTGAACTAGTTGGCACACACATAGGTGTGCCTGTTATGGATTAAAGTAGAGAATATTCTGGTATAATTCTGGATAAGTACCAGATACTCCTCTCCAAATTTATGTATAGACTTAAGTTTTCTTCATTTTCCATATTTTGAACTCCAGAGATTATAGAAAATTTCAAAGCTCTGATTGCTTTATGAAGCCTTGTCCGTTTGTTGATCACAAATCTTTCAGTTGCCTGCCTAATGCATTTGTCCGATTTAGCTTTCCCAGATTGTTTACTCTAGTATTTCTCTACTTTACTATTCTTCGGATTCTCCACTATGGTATTCCCATTTTTCGCATCGTTGTGTTCTTTAATTCTTCTCGAACTCTTCATCTTGGGGATCCCAAGTTTTTCCTCCTAGAGCTTTTGGATTCTCCAAACACAGCCATTTCTAGAGGGATCGTTACTCGTTGCCTTCCATCGCCCTATATGACATTGCGTCTGGATTTGCTTCGCACTACAACAAGGGATAGTTTCCATAGTCTAGATTCTTACATGGTACTGACATTGTTTTTAATTTTGGGGAATGATGACTAATTGTAAATCAAAATTTAAATAAGTGGCAATTGTCTAAATCTTATGAGTTTTTCACATAAAAATCTTATGTTTTTGACTTTTTGTATATATAGGGTAATGGAAGAGCTCTAGGATATCAAAATAAGTTATAATTTTAGGACACCTGACGCTCCTAAAATCATATGACCAGAAATAGGGTAATGATTCCTTACAGCGAGACAAGCAAGTTTTCAAACTAGGTCTACGGACGAAAATTGCTCTATGGCCTTCAAATCTAGGTTTTTTTATTTTCTATCTCCTTTCTTTTTGATTTTGGGTTTCTATTTCTCTGATAGGAAAAAACTCTTAAGTGGAATTAGATATTTATATTAAACTATTAATAAAATATCAATATAATTATATCATTTAACTAGTTTTTAATATAACATTCATATAAATTCTTTTAGGGCTTTAAAAATTATAGAAAAATATCTATAAAATAGCTTATTTTATGTAGAAAATAGTGATAAAATTGGTTTGCAAATTGGATACCTAATAGTCCTAAAATCATATATATAAATGGAGCTTGATGGCTAACTTTCATTCTTAAATTCATATGATTCTACCAATATAGAAAGTTGAAAAGAAACAGTTTGATGGCTTGATGATGCGTGTGCATCCTTTGTTCATTTCATTCTACTGCCAATGTCTTCTGAGATGGTTGCTATTGCTGTGTACTTTAAAGTCTCTGATTTGAAACTGTTTTGTTTTCCCTTACCTGTGTTTGTAATAATGAGATTTGATCTCATGATCAAACTATCATTTGCATATGAGTTTTCTTGGCCTTCTAACCTTATACTGCCTATTCTATTTTATGTGAGGATTTAGTTGAGGCATTTTGAAATTAGAGAATAATTTTCTTTAATTCTTATGGTACACAATTGTTTAATTGATATGTTTGACTTGCAATGGATATGCAACTTCAACGTTATGTTGAATATTATTACGCAAACATGAATAAATCTTTCATTAGGATTACTGAATGCCTGTGATACCTGCCTAATTTTGCTTAGATGTATTACTTACGTACAACAGGTAACTTTTGTTCGGATAAGAAGCCATCTGCTGTTAATTGGATATTGGGAAGGGGAAAATCTGTGGTCTGTGAGGCAGTCATCAAAGAGGAAGTGGTCAAGAAGGTTCTGAAGACGTCTGTGTCTGCACTTGTAGAGGTGAATACAATCAAAAACCTCGCTGGTTCAGCTATAGCAGGAGCCCTTGGAGGATTCAATGCTCATGCCAGCAACATAGTATCAGCCATCTTCATTGCCACAGGACAAGATCCTGCCCAGAATGTGGAGAGTTCTCACTGCATCACCATGATGGAAGCAGTGAATGATGGGAAAGATCTTCATATTTCTGTTACTATGCCATCCATTGAGGTAATCATCCTTCTAACTGCCTCTTCATGATTACAATCTTTTGTCCTTGGTTTTTAGCAGCTTATTATTTCTTACTATTTTTTTTTTCATTGAAAATCAGCATGCCCTTCCAAAGTTCAAATTGTTAAATGATTAAGCTATTGACTTCCTTGCCAAATGCGCCAGAATAGTTATTGTAAATCTGAACTTATTTTAAGACACATTTTATTGTTTACTGGCTATAGCAAATAAACACCAACATCCATGAAATGTTTATATTAATAGTATTCAATGTTCCGCAGTCTTGTGGTATGGTTTAGAAGCTTGGCTACTAATATTTACCTAATTAAAATAGATAATATGGATTGAACTCTTTTGATTAGCTCAACACCTTTAGGACAATTTTGTAGAGCAAATCACACTTCAATATTGCTCCATATGCCAACTGTAAACGTGTGACCAATATTTTGTTAAAAGCTACCTTTCTTTGATCACGGCCATTGCAACTTCCCAGAATACTACCAAAGTTATCTTTGCTGTCTTCTGAAATTCTCAAAACAGTTTGACTCTACGTGAATATTTTGCAAATTCCAAAAAATTACTCATACTATTGTCATAATATGATGACAGTCGGGGCGGGTATGCCCTCATCGTCTAGTGGTTTAGGACATATCTCTTTCAAGGAGGCAACGGGAATTTGACTTCCCCTAGGGGTAGTGAACTATGAAAGGAAGTTGGTCTTGGATTATCAAGAAACCTAGAATTCATTCTTCCTGGGTCGATGCCCGAGTGGTTAATAATGGGAACGGACTGTAAATTCGCTGGAGAGATGTCTACGCTGGTTCAAATCCAGCTCGGCCCATGAATTCGTCGCTCCATGAAGAAGATCTAAAGAATTTGTCCTCTAGAAACCGGATCCGTAAAAATAAAGAAAAAAAATCCATTTTTTTTATAAGCATATACTAAAAGCATCTTTAAGAATCCTAATTTCGTTGGTCCCCGTACTAAATTCAAATGTCGGCATATTTCTTCACCAGTTCTCACAAACCAAAAAATTGGTGGTATTTTTTTATTAATTTTAGTTGTAGTTGGTATCTGCTAGCTCAAACTTTATGCTTTTTTGTTATAATTTACAGGTAGGCACTGTTGGTGGTGGGACCCAATTGGCATCCCAATCTGCTTGCCTTGATCTCCTTGGAGTGAAGGGTGCATGCATGGAGTCTCCTGGGGCCAACGCCAGGCTTCTTGCTACCATTGTTGCAGGCTCAGTGCTTGCTGGCGAGCTCTCTCTCATGTCAGCCCTTGCAGCTGGTCAGCTGGTGAAGAGCCACATGAAATACAATAGATCATGCAAAGATACCTCCAAAGCTGCTTCCAATTGAAAACAACACAACACTTTGTAGATAGCTCTTAATACTAATAATACTCCGGAGAGTATGGTCAAGGTTAAGCTTCCCCAAGAAATTGAAGGTATCACATATTGTTGCTTCATCTAAAGCCAGCTTTACTTGCATTTTCTCTTGTAAAACTCCCCATGTAGCAAAGCAGCTTAGTCTTTTCCTCTTTAGGGCTTTTATTTGTATCATCTATTGTATTTTCCTATGAACTAGTGATGGTTTTGTGCAATTCAGTGTTGCAAGAAACTTGATTTCTTTCATCTTTGCTAACTTTTGTTCGAATGAAAGAAAATGCTTTGCATGAGAACATTGTAGAGTCGAGAAGCTTCAGTCCTTAAACACTAGAAATTTTGGAATGATCTTGTATGAAATCCTGTACAAACTAATTGATATGCTGCGATAGCTTTTTTTCTTTTGAGATGCATGAGAACAATGAAGGTTTGGTTTCAGTTATGAGGCCATGAAAATGGCAGCATGGAGTAGGTTTCAATATTGAAAGGTGGTTGTGGCATGGGTTGAAAAGCTTGACATCAAGTTGTCTCTATATTTATTTATACATTGATGATTGAAACATGAGGGCTACTGATCCAAGTTGCGTTGGCAAGGCCCCAAATTGCTCTCTTGCAGGTTCTTGACTTCTTCCGAGGGTCTATAAATAAATGCAGTGGACCATGTGCTATCATTAGGAGTGTCAATATTTGACACGATCCGAAAATTCAACTTGAACTTGACCCGAAAATTTCGGGTTCGAGTTCAGGTTTGGGTTCCAAATTTCAACCCGTTTGTAAAACCTGGTCGGGTTCGGGTTGACCCGAAAATAACCTGGAAATGACCCGGGCTGCTTGAGCTAACTAGCTTGCCCGCTGCGCTGACCTGCCTGCTCGAGTCACATCCCGAGGAGAGACTCCCGCGTCACGTTCCCTCACTGATGTCCCGCGTTAGCCATTAGGCGTCATGTCGCGTCCTCGTTGCCCGTTGTGCTGATCTGTTGTTTGCCATGTTTGCAGGCCGTTTCGGGTTCGGGTCCAAAAAATTGACCTATATCCTAAAATGGGTCGTGTCCGAGTTGACTCGAATAATGTCATGTTATTTTTGGGTTCAACATGAACCCGACACGTGACCCGAAATTGACACCCCTAGCTATCATCTTAAGTTTGTTTATTTTACATATTTTTTTTATTTTGAGCCGAATTTGGATTTTACCTCCAGTTTAAAATTGTATTCAAATTTATCTATCAGTCTTATTATTGAATATGAGTGGTAATGAATTTTAATCTAGGCTAATTAATTATATATTTGTTTCTTATTATTTTATTTGTAGTCTTATTAATAAAAATAATTGAATTTATACATTTTAATCGAAATTAATTTAATTTATCAAGTATTATTTATGTAGTTTGAAGAAGTTCAAATATTAATAATAAAAAATTTTGATCTATAGGTAGTGTTGCCATCATATTTATTGCTCTAATGAGATAAATAATTTTTCAAAATACATAAGATGTGGAAAAATTAATAAAAATATATAACAAATAATCAAATAATAAATAATTTGTTATTAAATGAATATTTTATTATATTCTTAAAAATTATTTATTAAGTTACAAACAATAAAGTTCACAATATAAATAAAAGAAATGATCGACATTCAATATTATTCATTCTATGTCAACTTCCATGTCTTAAGCCATGGCTTATGGCAATCTTTGGTGGTGCGGTTCTTGCTCGTTTCGGATGGATATTCTCTTACTCCAAACTGGATGGCCTGTGCCTGACTTTGGATTGGTTTGAAGCCTCTGCCAATTCCTAAGCCCGATGGGTTTTTTCCCCCTCCCTTTGTATCTCTGTTGCTCTATCTTTCTGCTTTTTAGCTGGTTGTAACTTGTAACCCCTTTTCTTAGTTGTAATAAAATTTTTGAAGAAAAAAAAAAAAAAAAAAAATCAAGAACTAGATGCACCGTACTTACCTCCTCCAAAGAAAGCAAAAGCCAACTCATCGGGAGATGAGTTCTCAAGAAGGGGAGTCTGATGTA